TTATATTTGAAAAAACTCTAAACTGCAAATAAAAATAACTTGGCGGGTAATGTGGACCAGTATGTGTGGGTAATGAGGATCAGTAAGTTAAAGGTAGGTTGTGGATTAATTGTGATAAATTTCAATTTATTGCACTCTTGGGTAACAATGAATGCAAAAATATATGGGTCCATGTTTTGGAATAGCCCCCATTTAAGGGTACCACCACATTTGCGGTATTTTGAAGGCCCTTGCTTCATTATCCAACCGAGGCACCTATAATTTCGGATATCGAGTTTTCAGAGGATAGAATACCTCCTCGCATATTAAATGCACCCTTGTTTTGAACTCGTCCTCATGAAAATGTCCCACTTTTTTATAGTGGTCCACATTACCCGACATTGAATATTTTTATTTAAAAATAATTATCGGCTTCAAAAATGAATAAAAATTTAAAAATAACCGAAAGTAATTACAGATAAACGTGTATTTTTGTTAAAGAAAACAAGAAAACCACATAACCTCTTTATATTCGAGAAAAACAAAATGTTCGACTATTTTACAAAATCGTTCGACTATTGTGCTAAAAAATTTTCAAATCACACTTTTACAATCAGAGCTACATTTTCACCTACTAAATTTTCAACATTGCAATTATTTATTAAAAACCAAGTTTGATGTTTGTTTTCACTAATTAGGAAAACATTTATCAAGGCGGCATTGGCATATTTCAAGCATTTTCTTAGATATGGGGGGTGGTCCACATTTGATGCATGGTCCACATTACCAGAAGTTACTCTAATGTGAAAAATATTATTTTACAAATTTATACTATAAGGGTACACATGTACTAAATCGTACTACATATTTTACCATTAGCTTTAAACAACAAAAAGCTTCAAAAACCTATTATGGTACTATTTGCATTCGTCCATTGGGATGATCAAGAAAGTAATTTTTTTAATGTATTTATTTTTTTATATTATTATGTTACAATTATTTTATGTAAAGCCTTAGCGCCAAGTTGACATCATTGAGACAGCTGGCAACTTTTTAAAGAATTTCAATGTATATTTACAATTAAATAAATCATATTTTAATAGTGATAATCATAACATACATTTGTATTTACAACAAAAGTGTTTCCAGCCGACTGCACAAGTAGTTTTTACATATCAAGGCAACTCATTAAATTTCTTGGTCCCTACAAAGTCAATTCTTTGTTTTGTTTTCTCTAATTTACATTTTGATATTCTCAAATTGCTACAATTGCCTGTTTGGAAATTATTTTGGTTTTGTTATAATATAATTCATAGTTCAATTTCAGAAAATATAAGAATAAGTAAGTCGTACTCTATTTAGTAGGGTTCGTAATCAAAGCTTCTTAAACCTATGTTCGAAAGAAATGTTGACTAACATCTGAAATATTCTTAAATATATATAGGACCAATTATTATTCATTTATAGAATATACAGTGAACTCTCGATAATGTGAACTAATTGTTCACATTTTCGATTCGACCCGCTTATTTTCCGCTAATTCCCTGATTTTTTTCAATAATGTCACTTCGAGTGTTCACATTATCGGGAGTTCACTGTACATGTTAAATTATATTGTGTAACAAAATTAATTTTTATTTTAAGTATAATATTTAATATGGTTATGGCGGGCGTATGCTAGTTTTATTATAAAAAAGGGGCGAATATTAATAATTTTTGGGAGGAAGATTTGTTACCGTATATGACTACAAAAAACCAAATTACAGCGAATTGGGTTGAAAACGCGTATATGGGAGCTATACGTAAACGAGGACCGATATAACTCATATTCGAACTTGACCTGCACAGACACAGACAAAGGAACGACTCTATGCAAAATTTTGGCGTTCTATCTCAATTCTTTTAGAGGTTAGAGTGATTACAAGAGACGAACGGACAGACATGCTTAACTCGTCATAGAATTTTATGCTGATCGAGAATATATTATAATACCCTCCATACTATGGTGGAGGGTATAAAATACACAGACAAAGGAACGACTCTATGCAAAATTTTGGCGTTCTATCTCAATTCTTTTAGAGGTTAGAGTGATTACAAGAGACGAACGGACAGACATGCTTAACTCGTCATAGAATTTTATGCTGATCGAGAATATATTATAATACCCTCCATACTATGGTGGAGGGTATAAAATAGACAAACTGCAAAACAATTTCTGTTAAAAGCGTATCACCATATGATAAAGAGAAGTTTAAACAGAGAACCGGAAAAGGAAAAAAAAGTTTACGAAAGAAAGAAGAAGAGTATAAAAGAAGATTTACATTACTTACATCCTAAACATAAATATATGCAAACGCACCGAATGTTGTTCAATCTGCCACTTTAGTCTACGCAGATTATAATATGGTAATTCGAAATTGATTATTAACAACAAATATGAAAGTGAATGGCTAAAAGTCATTAACATCTGACGAAAATGCCAAATAAATATAACAACAAAGTATGTAGTACAAAGGTGTTTGGGTTTTACTTACAAAAACAAATCATCAGTTTGCAATCATTACGAAAATATGACTAATATAGTTGCACCACATTGTTATTGTTATTTTGCATTACGCAAATTAATTTAGAAAATATAATATAGAACCACTGCTCGAAATAATATTTAGATTTCCTAACAAAACGAAAGAAAACTTGTTCAGATAGTATGGTACAACGAAGTCCAAGTATTGGAATTTCCTGTGTTTGTTAGACCAAAGAGTTGTTTCAATAGAAATGTGTTTGATTTTATAAGGGGATAGTTTTTTGAATACAGCCTCAATTTTTTATACAATTATACACACTGTGGTACAGGCAAAAGGAAAAGAGATAGATCCATGGTTGCTTTTGAGAATATGAATAAAATTATACATATCCGTCCGTCTGATGATGTAAAATTATGAACAAAGTACAGGTCGCATTTATGATCCAATTTGAATGAAAATTGGTACAACTCATGTATTTAGCCCATGGTGAAAAGCGGTTCAGATTTAGATATTGTTCACATATATACGTTCGTCCGAATTTATATAAAAGTGACACTATATACCCATGTTTTGTCCAATTAATACGAAATTTGCAATACTGTACCATATTTAGTCTATAATGATAAGTGGGATTCAGCCAAAATACAAATGGTATCCCAAATAACACGCCAGCGCTGATTTTCTTGAAAAAGTAGATTTTGATATAGCTCTTCTATATATTTTCATCCGATTAAATCTAAATGGTGCGCCATATATATACCAACTATTGTGCGATAGTAATGATATCATTCACGGTGTGGCTTAGTGAGCTTACAATGAGGTCTTTTAAGTTTCGTTTCAAGCGTTTCATATTTCTAAATAGCTACGATATATACTTTTGAAATTAGTCCCAACCCAACGTTCGTGCGATTGCACAGCGTACGGAAAAGAGTTCACGCTGTATTGATAGTTTTCTCGTAAAGTATCAATCAAACAATTTCAGATTTATGCTCGTTGGAAGGGTGACATTTCGCAGTAAAAAATTATTTTCCTGTGTTTTGTTCGGTGCATTTAGTTGTGAGTTACAGGGTGTTTAAAATGGAAGTAAACGACTAAAAAATTCGGTACATTTTATAGATTTTCTTTGACAGTTTACAGTTTTAGCCAAGCGGCAAAATTGTGAATGGTGTTTGTGGTTCTGATACTGTAAAAGCAAATTATGTGCAATTTTGGTTTCGTAGATTCCGTTTAGGAATATTTGATGTTAAAGATGCACCTCGCGCAGGTAGGCCAGTTGCCGAAAATGTCGATAAAATTGAAGAAATAATCGAAATTGACCGACATGTTAGCAGTCGTAAAATCGCCCAGGAACTAAAAATCGACCATAACTGTTTTAAATCATTTACACAAAAAATGAGAATGGCTTTCTTTTCCCCAACCTAATATTTGATACATAGATATAGCTCTCATTTATATTTTATCTTTAATTAATTAATTTATTAATATATTTTATTTTTGATTTATATATTTTATTTTTATTTTGACAAGACACTGTACTGTACTGTATTGGCCAATTTCCTTCAATCTAAACCAGATTTTTATGTAGCTCTTATATATATATATATTTATTTCTTAAAAATGGTAAACCAAAGTCTATATTTTAGAATGGCATGTGTATGTGTTTATTAAAATACGTTCACATATCTATATGGGTCACAACCAATTGCATTGGAGAAGAACGTTTGTTACGATCTTTTCAAATCGGTATATAATTACTCTACCTTACAATAATTATCTTAGGGGCATTTCTTGGCTATACCCAAATTAGTTAAGGGTATCAAATAGTCGACCCCGTCCGAATTTTGAACTTTCCTCGATTTTCTATGTAAAAAGTATATAGGATTTGTGTACTCCTTGTAAGAATTAGGATTTGTTCGTGATTGTTATTTTTATTTATTGAGCTAAATTATTTTCACCGTCTTGAAACTAAAATGCCGGACCATGGATTAATCCAAGGCGATTAAGAACGTAACTCCGTTCGGGCCCTATGCACGATTTTCGACTGAATTGGCTAAAAAAATAATATTTTATTTCCTATTTTACACAATTTTCCAACCTGAATATCAAAAAGTGTCTACTCTTATTGCTTTTATTGATATAAATCACAATTGTCTTAACATCTTCTTTTTTGAATATTACTTAGTCCTTGGAGAGATAAAAAACATCATACAAAATCCTCTTGTTCTTACAATTTTTTTAATATTTATTAAGTCAGAGATTCCTAAGAATTAATTATCACAAATTCATCTATAAAATAAACTTTTCTCTTTTATTCTGTCCAATTTTTAGCTACATTCATAATTTAGTTCCATAATTAATTTACACCATTATAATGCATTAATAAAACCAGTAGATATTTTTAAATTGTTTTCTTTTTATTTGCCATTTGAAATTTAAATTGTAGCAATTATTTGCATTGCATGGCATTCTCTAGTTTGATATTTCAGTCCATTCTCCCTCTTACAGTGACACAACATGACCAGCAAACAAAATGTTGTATTTGTTGCGGATGACAAAAGCAAATGGATGATCGGCATAAAAGGGTATGTATGTTTTGGTTTCTGCGGAAAATGAAAGTTTTCAATTGACATCAATAACCATAAAGAAAATAATGAATTCATTCAACCTACCATCCAGAACCAAATCGGAGGCATCACTTTCATGAATTTCAATCAATGCTGCATGTTGTATATCTGAAATTGGCATATAACCATGGCCATGTTCCAACATATCACTAAAGTCAGCGGAATAGGTAAACATTTCATAGATACCGAGCTGAAAGAACAAAACTTTATTATATCTTGCTGTATTGTATGGGTATTTCAATGTCTTACCTTTTGCAAAGCCGCTTTAAGTGGAATACTAGAACTAATTTTGAACTTTGGAACATAAACATCCATTTGTTCCATTGTCCAGTGATCACGAATTTCATCGAAATCGAAAGTCTTAAGTTTCTCCTCCAATTCGTAGAGACCATTCTTCTTATTTGGCAGAATGATTATCATTGAGAGATCACTCTTTTCAAAAGGCGCTTCCAATAGGGTAGCATCTAAAATGGAACTATCGGCATAGTTGAAGATGTCCTTTGCGTGGATGGTGGGCACCTTAATGCACTTTTCCTTGTTGAGGCAGAAGTCACGTTTGACTGTGAATTCTTTGCAGAATGGACGAGCCCAACCTCCTCTGAGGTATGCTGCACTAACCATCTCTGCAATAGTATCTTCATCTATGGCACTACAAATTTGTCGGATGTTCCGCTTAGTTCTCTTCGATATCCATTCATTGATATTTTCAATGGTTTTTTCTACTTCATGGAAATCAACAGCTTCAAATTCGGAATGGAATGGAGTCTCAGCATGCAAGCGGTATTTATCCGATAACTTAATGTCATGGTTGTAGAAAAGTTTATTGGTGAAATCCAGAATTGTTTGATTAAGTGAGTCGGATGTCATTTTGGCCTGTTTGATCAGATCATCCTTATTTTTGGTGATGTGGAGAGCCTTCCGAATTTCTTCAGCAGTATAGCCATAGGCACCACAATACAGTATTTCCAAAGCATATTTAATGGCAATTGGTGACACGACGACATTTTCCTTCGATCTCTGAAGTAGCAGATTACTTAAAATTTCCATCTCAAAATCGAGATATTTTTCTGGTATGGCCTCGCTAAAGGCCATAAACGATAGGCATATAACCAATAGCTCTGAAATAGAAAGTAAACATTTATTTTGAAGAACTGAATTTATTTTCATATTTATTTCCCACACTCACTTAAACACAACTTCATGGCTGCAAATATTCAAAGGTGCTCTGGTTGGCAACTGATTACCACATCGGTTTGCAGCCGTATTTATATCTTGCCAACCCATTGCAATTGAGCCTTGCAAAGACTCTCATTCACATTCCCTCTCTTTCGAAGATCTTCCTTGAATTTTAAATATAGCGCTTGAATAAAAGATATATGACTTCTTGCATCCAGTTGGTCTTAACCACCTCAGCAACATTCATTCTCACCTTTAAGCTCAAATTTAATACGAATTGTTGGTTCATAGTTTCTTTGTTCTTACGTCAAACAAAAACCGGTGTTCAATTCTACATCTGCTGTAGCGTTGGTTTCGTATTCGTGGAATAATCTCTTTAGAACAATTGCTGGAAAATCTGAAACGGGTTGCCGTTTTATTGGTTTGATAACATCGCAACTTTGGGGAATTCCACCAAATGTTCAAGAACATTTCTCCGACATTATGTATTGACCGGTCGTCATATAGGTCCAATTGTGACCAAATACAACATCAATAGTTTAAGGGGATGGAATAAGCCACAATTAAGGCCCGTATATAACAACATTTTTCATGGGGTTAGAGATCTGATCTTCGAATTAACATTAATTTTTTGATGATGATCAGCTAATATTTGCGAGTCACATTGACATGTTTAACCAGTAAGGAAAGTAGTAAAGTCGGACGGTGCCGACTATATGATACCCTTCACCACTATGGGTATATTAAACAGGATTATTAACATGAAATTGAATGAAATAAAATATGTGATATTTATGTAAATGTGCATCTACCTAGATCTATCCATAAAGTATGTAAATCGAGTTCAAACAAATATAAATAGGTCATCCGTTGGGCTATGTCTGTAATTCTAGAAAACGCAACTGCGTAATTCTATGCTCAATTTTGTAAGTTGTGCAAAAATTGATGTCAAACTGACTAACAATTTACTTGAAATCGGGCGAAAATATATATGGAAGCTCTATCCAAATATTAAGCGATTTCAAAAAAATCTTGTCACAGGTTAGGTTATAATATTTCAGAACGTTTTGTTCCTATCAGCCTATTGGTTCCTTGGTGCGTCAATTACTTAAAGTAAATCTATATTAAAAGGGAGCTATATCTAAATCTGGACTGATTTTCTCGAAACTTGGCAGACATCACTCTAGGCTCAATTCAGTACGTTATGCCAAATTTCGTGCAAATCGAAGGATATATAGGGACTTTAGTGCACCAATTATATGAAATCGGACGAAACTATATATGGGAGCTATATCTAAATCAGAACCGATTTTCACGAAACTTGGCAGACATCATTCTAGGCTCAATTCAGTACGTTACGCCAAATTTCGTGCAAATCGAAAGATATATAGGGACTTTGGGGCACCATTTACATGAAATCGGACGAAACTATATATAGGAGCTATATCTAAATCTGGACCGATTTTCTCGAAACTTGACAGACATCACTCTAGGCTTAATTTAGTACGTTATGCCAAATTTCGTCCAAATCGAAGGATATATAGGGACTTTGGTGCACCATTTATATGAAATCGGGCGAAACTATATATGGGAACTATATCTAAATCAGGACCGATTTTCACGAAACTTGGCAGACATCATTCTAGGCTCAATACAGTACGTTATGCCAAATTTCGTGCAAATCGAAAGATATATAGGGACTTTGGGGCACCATTTACATGAAATCGGACGAAACTATATATGGGAGCTATATCTAAATCTGGACCGATTTTCTCGAAACTTGGCAGACACCACTCGAGGCTTAATTCAGTACGTTATGCCAAATTTCGTACAAATCGAAAGATATATAGGGACTTTGGGAGCTATATGGGAGCTATATCTAAATCTGGACCGATTTTCTCGAAACTTGGCATACATCATTATAGAACTAAATGATTAGGCTGTACCAAATTTCGTGCAAATCGAAAGATATATATAATATATATATGGGAGCTATATCTAAATCTGAACCGATTTTTCCCAATTTCAATAGGGTTCGTCCTTGGGCCGAATAAGTGACCTATGCCAAATTTCATCCAATTCGGATCATAAATGCGACCTGTACTTTGTTTACAATTTAACATGCACAGACAGACAGACAGACGGACGGACGGACGGACGGACATGCATAAATCGACTTAGAAAGTGATTCTATGCATATTCTCAAAAGGAACCATGTGTCTATCTCGTTTCCTTTTGCCTGTTACAAACATATGCACAAAGACCTGTACCACAGTGTGGTGAAGGGTATAAAAAGTTACAAAATGGTCATAGCAAGGAAAAGTAGCCTTTTAAACAAGATACAATTGATATCAAATAATTTGTACTAAAATAAAAAATATCAAATTTAAAAAATTACAGAGGTCTATTTCCTGTGTTGAATTTTTAAAACTTCAAATCTTAGATAAAACCATGAATTCGAGGTTTTTGATGACACGCTCAAATCACTGGGTTATGCTGACTACTGAACCAATGCTCTGTCCGTCCTTTTGGATTCATTTTATTTGCGAAATCTGATTAAACATTTGTAATGTGGTCAAAAATTATTTTTCGATCCACCATATTATTATATCAAAAAATAGAATATCTGGCGCTGCCATTAAATCTCCCTCCACAAATCTAATTCGATTTCAACAAAAATCTATACAAGTTATCATCGGCTCAAGTAGATACGCTGAGCAATATTTCGTCGCAAGGCCAAGAGTATACATCATATCTTAACTGATAATTACCGCTAGAACATACATTTTAATAAATAATTCTATATAGGAACTTATCTACGCCACACCGTCTAGAGGCGGGCTTGTCGGCTACAGGGTTAAAATCGGACGAAAATATATATGGGAACAATATCTAAATTATTGATCCGGACCTGTAAACCGCGACTAATTTTAACTAAGGTGTTGAACGTAATGTTATATATTTATGGCAAATATTTCAAACTAGTCCGGCACTTTTTTATAATACACAATTTATTCGAAATTTATTAGAGTTCGTAGATATAGAGTTTTCTTAGCAAGAATCGGGTAAAAGTGGAATAAAACAATATACAAATGGTATCCCAAATAAACCGCCAACACTACTGAAGTGGAAAAGGACGATAAAAACATGCGAATATCTCTTTCTTGTATTTGGGGCCCTATCTAAGATTTTATGAGCAACATTTTTGTAGAATATTTGGAGGTCAAAAAATGTCTTGACGTATTATAAGATGATTTTCACAATCCCCTCATTCCTATAAAAGCTCGTTCATTCATGCTCATTTTTGAGAAAAAAGTCATAACTCTATTCAACATATTCTGATAGTATTGCGTATGATATTACATGGTCGGCCTCGTCCGACTATAGAGTTTTGCTTACTGATTTAATAATTATTTGGTTTCAAAAAAAAAAAAAAAAAAACAAAAAAAAAACAAACACGACTGTGTGTTGTTTTTGTATTGTCAACTTTTATTCCTCAATTAAGCAAATTTCTTTGAAAAATCATCAATGAATAGGATAACCTGACCGAACATTTTATAGCCTCCGTCATGAGTAAGCCATTCAAAATACTTAAACTCGCCGGGATACTTATATGGGGGCTAAGTCAAAAATTCAAATACATATAGTATACTAGCGGATTCGGCCAATTTCTTGTGGTACCAATTAATCGCATTCACATAAACTCCAAGAATTTCCAACTTTTCAATTCAAACCAATAAGGAAAATAGTAAAGTCGGACTGGGCCGACTATATGATACCTTTCATCACTTTGGGGATATTCTACATATGTATCTTTACAGATGTCGTCTTTTCGAAGGAACATTGACATGAAATTGAACGAACTTAAAAATGTGATCTTTAGCTATAAGTAAACCGACTAACATCAATCCTTACACATGCCATTCTGCAACCTATTCCATAATTTTTAAATAGACTTTAAGCAAACTTTACGCACGCTATTTGGTATGCTTCACTATTTAAAATGTAATATCAATCAAGCACCCATTAATTATTTGGTTTACAATCAACATGAATAGGTCGAAATTATATATGGAAGCTATGCTTTGCACACATCATTCTGCACCTAATACAGTACTCTATGCCAAATTTCATGCAAATCGAATGATATATAGGGACTTTGGTGCACCATTTACCTTAAATTGGACGAAACTATATATGGGATCTATATCTTACTCTGAACCAATTGTTTCGAAACTTGGCACACATCATTCTGGACCTAATTCAGTACTCTGTGGCAAATTTCGTGCAAATCGAAAGATATAGAGGGACTTTGGTGCCCCATTTACCTTAAATCGGACGAAAATATATTACCTTAAATCGGACGAAAATATATATGGGAAGATTTTTCCCAATTTCAATAGGGTTCGTCCTTGGGACAAATAAGTGACTTGTGCCAAAATGTCGTCCAAATCGGATCATGAATGCGACCAGTACTTTATTTACAACTTAACATCTACGGACGGACGGAAGGACATGCATAAATCGACTCAGAAAGTGATTCTATGCATATTCTCAAAAGGAACCATGTGTCTATCTCGTTTCCTTTTGCCTGTTACAAACATATGCACAAAGACATAATACCCTGTACCACAGTGTGGTGAAGGGTATAACAAAAAAACTTTTGAGTCAAATCGGTCCAGCCGTTCTCAATTGCATTTCTTACATATATTGAAAATTGTCTGCCATATTAATACTAAATTTTCTACTCATTGGTGACTAAATTGACGACTAAAAGTTTTGGTCGTAAAAGTCTTAAACGACAACACTGTTTCACAAAGCTTTTACTGGCCCTAACAGAAGGCAACAGAAATCAACTTCTAAATTTCTTTGCACCAGATTTACCGGTGGTGTAATGGACAAGATCAAGATCTCTACAGAACCAGTTTGGAAAAGGTGCAAAACTAATCTTCTAGACATGGAGTTATCATTGGCGTAACTTGAATGCTTTTGGAGGGGGTTTTTTGTATATTGTTCCAATAGATTTTTCCTGGTAATACTAGGAGGTAAGAACAAGTTTGAATGAATACAATGTGGTTAAGATTGTTTATTAATTTAATTTATGCGACTTATCTACGCCATTGGATTAATCGCAATCCGAATAAAATGATATTAGTCAATAAGTCGATACACTTTCAGTGCAATACAATTTATTATTGAATTTTTAATTGTTATGTTCGGAGAACAATTTAAATATATTGCATATTCATTCATTCGGATAGATCAAATAGATATGGAATTGTTAATGGTTGGCTATTGTGTTCAGACAATTCAGAAGTTATTCATCACGTTTCAAATTAAATTGAGGGCGACAAAACATTTTCTCGAATGCAGTGTTAGGATAGGTTAGTTTGAAAACAAGTTTCAGTTATTTGAATTTTTTTCATTTTGGAACAGTGATACGGTTAGTACTCATTCTAATATTAGAGAATGTTATCCACATTTAAATTCTTTGCCTAAGATTTGTGCCACGTTCCTAAAAGGAGATTTTATTATTTATTCTACATCTGGTGTTACAAACATTTACCATTTTCTGCTTACAATAGTAATAATAAACTAAATAATCCAATATTTCCCAGTGATTGTTACGCCTCTGTAACAAATTCATATTTTGTTTGTATCTGAAGAGTATTCACCCATAAACTTGAGAAGAACTTGTATTTAAAAAATGTTCATGACTACTTTTGAGGATATACATAGAATCAATTTTGAATCGATTTCAGCATGTTCGCTCGTCCATCTGTATATTTGTAAACAAAGTACCTACAGGTCATATTTAATATTATTAATTATTAATCAATATTAAGCATTAAGAGTTTGGTACACAATTTACATAAAATCGGAAGAAAATATATATGTGAGCTATATCTAAATCTGAACCGATTTTCAAGAAACTCAGTACACATCATTGAAGACGTAATTCAATACTCTATGCGAAATTTCGTGCAAATCGGAAGAAATAAAAAGGGTCTGTGGTAGACTACTTACATAAATTGGAAGCTATATCTAAATTCAAACCGATTTTCACGAAAATTTGCACACATCATTATAGACTTAATTCGGTACCCAATGCCAAATTTCGTACAAATCGAAATTAATGTAAGGGCTTTGATGCTCAACTAACATAAAATCGGACAAAAATATCAATGGGAGCTATATCTAAAACTGAATCTATTTCAACAAAACTTCACGGACATCAACCTACAGTAACTTCAAAACGCTATGCAGCACTTTGTCTCAATCGGACAAATATTGACAGTATAGTGCTCCATTTACATAAACCGATTTTCTCCAATTTCAATAGGGTTCGTCTTTGGGCCAAACAAGTGACCTGTGTCAAATTCCATCCAAATCGGATCGTAAATGCGACCGAGTGAAGGGTATAAAAATCTAGTATATTTTAATAATTTGTTTATGCTACAGCCAAAAATAACTAAATTACAATTTCGGGTTATCAGAGGAAAAGTACCACCTATTACATGTTAAATATAGATCACGGCCTTCCTCCATCTAATTTATTTCATACATATTTGTTATAACCTTCTCGATATGATGATCAGTCATTGGTGGCTATTAATACTGTATTTTTTACAAGCTTCTTTAACAAAGAACCGCAAATCGTTATAATTTCGAATACACAGACATTCAATTCAATTAAACGACACTGTTTTATAGTTTCAGTGAATTCCGTTTGAATGTGAATATTCAAACATGTGTTTATCTGTTTTTAAATAAAAAGTGAGCAGAGCAGTATAGTCGGACGGGGCTGACCATATGATACCCTGTACAACGGCCACCGAACTCTAATTTTCTGAAGATCGATATTCCGTGCCTGTGCGATACCTCGCCGTATTTGTATTCTTAATCGATTAGAGGTCAAGAGCTCCTATTTCTTACACTGACATATTTTACGAATCATGTTTCAAAAGGCTTTGTTCACTTTACCTTAAATAAACAGTTGGCCAGATCCTTTCTCCATGGTAACTTTGCTAGAGCGACTAGGAAACAGAAAATGTGTTGATCCATTCTATCTCCTAAATATCATCTGATCATCACCAAAATTTTGTAGGTGTCGTTATTGAACATAACCGGACCCAATAAATAATTTCACTGCGATCCGGGCGACCATTTCGCCAATTTAGAGCAAACGTAGCACAGTTCTGTCTATATTTATCAAAACCCCGTGCAAAATTACATCGATATGTTCGTCCAAAAACTCCTTGTTATTTTAAATGATACTGAGTTTTTTTCCATGGTCCATGTTTAAGAATAGCTATTATCTTCCAATTTCACCACCGAAATATCAGGTTTGGCGTATCGGAGGCAAAATTATGTGAGTACAGATTTTGTTTTGACATGGTTTTGATCTGGTCAAATACACAGTATACGATAATAAGACTGTGTAACACGAAAATTATTCAGGGGTTCTAATGCACCAATTCTGTCTAGTTGGAGTCCCTGGACCAGGAAAATGCCCTTGGTTTTTCTGTGTCACTTCGTAAATTTGTTTTATTACGGTAAATGTAGAGAAAACAATGCTTCCATAGATTTTCAATTTTAAACGGGAATAACTTCTTTTCTTTTTAACGGATTTCTATTATTACAGTAGATTTTTTCCTTTCAAACAAGAGATATATTCGGTAAATCGGTTGAGTATTGGCTGAGTAACAGTGGTTGAAATGTGAAAAAATACGCATACAATTTATTTTTTTTAGGACTGTACAATCAGTTTATGATATCAAGACGCATATGTTTTATTATATTACGTGTATGTTTTATTATATTAAGAAAATTAAATATGCTTTCGAATATCAATAAAAACGGTTAAAAATGGATGACATACACATTTTTGTATTGTAACTTTTTTCCTTATTTAGAAATATACTAAAATATGTAAAATATGCATCTTTTCACATAAAATTTTACGAAGTGACCCAAAAAAACCAAAGACATTTTCGTGGTCCAGGGACTCCACCTAAAAAGAATTGGTACATTAGAACCGCTGAATAATTTTTGTTTGTTTGTTTTGTATCCCATTATAATTTTACGCAACACTGCCTTATAGCTAATTAGGGTGTATGTACACTGATACTCATAGGTTCGATTAGGACCTAATCTGTTTCATTGAGTTCATTTTGTAAATGATTTTGTCCAAACTTCCCCATTTAGATCAGATTCGAAGATGGGGACTATCGATTAAGTTCTAAATAAAAATCTCCCCCACTAAATCGTTAACATATTGAAGAACAACTTATTTATAACATCATGTGAATAACGCTAACAATTTCTCAAAACTTAACCAATCCCGAAAATAAATAAAGTGATAACAATATGTATCAAATATTATCCTGGTCAGGATACAGCTATGCCAGGATTCAATTATACAAAATTTGTCACAGTCTGAGACAACACCAATTACAATTTCTATCTAGTTTTATGTAGACATTTTTACCTTGAGTGTATTTCAGACATTTTTACTTTCAGTGTATTATTATTTTTTTAATGAAAGTGAATTTTGTGTCGTTCTAAATTGAATCAATTTCGTTGTCATGGCCACATGAAAATTATTTCTATATGTACTTGCGACAATGAACTTGTTTCGCACACCCCCTCCACAGCTAAAAATACATACATACGTACAATGAAGTTCAACAAATGCCGACGCAGAAATAATGGAACAGAAAAACCAGATACACAAACATCCACACACACCACACATGGTTCAATTCGAGGAATGAAAATTCACTTTGTCCATTTGTCGGTGTGGAACAACGCACAACGTCAGATAGTCAATCAGCTGTTGTCTTCGCGTGCCGTTCGCTGAGTGTAAGGCGGGTAGCGGGCGACGTCGTTGCAGGGAATCCAAATAAATATGAAGAAGCACTCCGGCCATATGCTTCGTAAACATGCGACATGGGGTTTCTATGGCATCGTCACCGAAATCAACATTCAGTTCATTTCAGCTGGAAATCAGCGAGGGTGTCTCTCGTAAATCTGTAGATTCTAGTGCGTGGCTGGTGAACACAGCATCCGAATAACAAGAGAACAATCTACAAAAATAAGCATTTTAAACAGGAAAAATGCCAAATTTTTCAAAATTGACACAATTGAGGGGTAAGCAAAGCACAAAGGAACAAATGACAAATATAAATGAAAATATTTCACATTGCATAACAATTTATTACGTATTTGAATATTCAAAATATAGTAAAATATTGCAAATACTTTTCCTTCACGTAGGCTTCCAGCTATATCTCTTGAAGGGATCGTTGCACCGCTCGTACTCTTCATCGCCAGCCAATGCACAATTTCGCGAAATAATCTCTGAGCAAATTAAGTCGATCAAAGAGGCTGGCACATATAAATCGGAACGTGTTATCACTTCATCCCAGAGCACTCAAATTACTGTGGAGGGCAGTAACAAAAACATTTTGAACTTTTGTGCCAATAACTATTTGGGTTTAGCTGTAAGTACTTAAGATAAGCTAATAACTTGATTATCAATGTAATTTCATTAAATACAATGCGAATATAATTTGTTAATACATATGTATATTAATTTTTGGATTGTTTTTTAACTTTTTTTACAGAACAACCCCGAAGTTATTAAATATTCCAATGAAATTCTCTCGAAATATGGTGCCGGTCTGAGTTCGGTGCGTTTTATTTGCGGAACCCAGGACATTCACAAGAATTTGGAAAAGAAAATTGCCCAATTTCATGGACGCGAAGATACAATTCTTTATGCCTCATGCTTTGATGCCAATGCTGGTCTTTTTGAGGCAATTCTAACTCCTGAAGACGCTGTATTTTCGGATGAACTTAATCATGCTTCCATTATCGATGGTATTCGTTTGTGTAAGGCCCAGAAGAGTCGCTACAAGCATCGTGACTTGAATGGTGAGTACGAAAGAAAAATTATTATTGTCGGTCAAAGCTAGAAAAAAAGTACAAATGATAGTAAATTCTGCCTGGCCGAACTTTTTTCACCCACAATTAAGTGATTGGCAATCAAAATATCTTAAATTAATGGGGACTCTTAGGAAACAAGTCATGTTAGGACTTTGAACGTACCGAAAAAATAGTGAGAACCAGTAAGGAAAGTAGTAAAGACGGACTGGGCCGACTACATGATACTCTTCTCCACTTTGAGTATATTTTACATATGTTTCCTAACAGACTCCGCCTTTTCGAAAGAACATTGACATGAAATTGAACAAACTTGAATATGTGATCTTTCTGGAACCTATACTAAATTTCGTTTTATTGGGGCACGTTAAGACTCGTTTGCGTACAATGGGACAACTTTTTTAATCGATTTTATTTACATAAATTTAATCTCAATCAGATACCCATTTTCAATATATATAGAAGCGGTGTCTGCATCTGCGCCAAGTAAAAAAAAACTATAACGTCATTTTATTTAAAATTTGATACGTTTCGTGTCAACCGGTGCAACATTTACCTAAATTCTGATTTCAATAGAATTGTGTGGCAATCGTACAAACTTTGGGTCTTTAGTGCACATTTTCCATAAAATCGAAGGAAAATATATATGGGAGCTATATCGAAATCTGAACCGATTTTCACGAAATTTAATACACATCATTCTAGACTTAATTGAGTACGCTATGCCAAATTTCGTGCAAATCGAAAAATATATAGGGACTTTGGTACACCGTTTACATAAAATCGGATATGTGGGAGCTATATCTAAATCTGAACCTATTTTCCCCAATTTCCCCTTAGCCCGAGGACGGACCCTATTGAAATCGGATGATAAATCCAAATCGGATGATAAATGCGACCTGTACTTTGTTTAAAAATTAACACCAACAGACGGGTAGATGGACGGACAAGCATAAATCGACTCTGAAAGTGATTCTATGCATATTCTCAAAAGGAATCATGTGTCTATCTCGTTGCCTTTTGCATGTTACATCCAGTGAGCGGAGCAGTATAGTCGGACGGGCCGACCATACGATACCCAAAACAACTACCACGGTACTCTAACTTTCTGCTGATGTTTATTTCGAGCCTGGTCAATATTTCGTGATATTTGCACCCTTTTCACTGATTAGAATCAACAGCACTTCTTCCTTACACTGACATATTTTCCGAATATTCCCAATATTCAGTACAGCCCTGCTAATTACTTAACCAGATTCCCTTGGCCGTGGGTTATGTTGTGGCCTATAGATCGACTCGAAAAAAATAAGTTTACGGTCCACTTCATCCCAATATTATTATCTGATCATCATCGAAAATTATAGGCGTTGTTCTTGACAATACCGTTGTCAGTGCTATATTTCTGCCCTCTAGTGTGGTAATGGGTTACTAAATAATATCTGAATACGTAAGCACATGTAAATATTTAGGTGTAACTCCCACATCCGAGTACATACATCACTTTAATTTGAATCAATTTAAAGGCTAACCACTCCTCTTGGATATACTATTAACTTCTACGCTCTATGTCCTAGGAATAAATATATGCGCTATAGAATACATTTTTTTCATTTTTCACACAAAAGTCAGGGCATACTTGTTCTTTGGCCCAATCCCCTTCTCCATGTAAAAATTCGAGATGTTTGGGCCATAATTGCGGCCTCTGGAGCGACCAGAAAAACCGACAAAAATTAAGTATTTGGTCCATTTCATCCCCTTAAAATTAACCGATCTTTACCAAAAACAGTAGGGGTCTTCATTGGCCAGAACACACCCTAAATGCAAAATTTCGTGAAGATTGGTTCATAAATGTGACCTGTACCGTGTTTACAAATTATAATGGACAGATGGACGGACGGACACACATGTCTAGATCGACTCAGCTAGTCGAGATATGACGATCGGTATACTTACAGGTGGGTCTAGGACCAATATTTGCACAAAGCTATAATACTCTGACAACATAGTTGTGTAGGGTATAAACATATGCACAATGACATAATACATAATAACAAAATTGACCTATATAGAACCCAAATCTACCAAAATACCGATATGCCATTTGAAATACCAAATATTCTTGTAGTATTAGCAATGTATGTGTCAAATTTCAAAACTTTATGGAAAATATTGGGACCCTATCTTTATTTTGAGGTCTCCTACGAATAATTCAAAATATTGTCATATGAATAAAAAATTAATATTCGCTCCACACTATGGCGTAATAAATCATGAATAATTCACAATATCTCAAGAAAACCCTAAAATTTTCATTTAACCAATTTAGCTAGATTTAAAAGATTTTTAAATTGCGCAAAACTTAACAATATCTATGTTTTTGTAATGTATTTTAAACGTTTGTTCTTAAAACCTAATTACAGATTTGGAAAATCAATTGAAATCATCGACTGCTCGCCTTAAGCTGATTGTTACCGATGGTGTCTTCTCTATGGATGGTAATATTGCACCGCTCAAAGAAATTGTTGCCTTGGCCAAGAAATACAACGCCTTAACATTCATCGATGAATGTCATGCTACCGGTTTCTTGGGTAAAACTGGACGCGGTACTGAAGAATATTGTGAAGTTATGGGCAGCGTTGATATTATCAATTCTACTTTGGGTAAAGCTTTGGGTGGTGCTGCCGGTGGCTATACCACAGGTCCCAAAGAACTTATCACATTCTTGAGACAAAAATCTCGTCCATACCTATTCTCCAATACATTACCACCAGCTGTTGTTGCCACAGGTACCAAAGTTTTGGATATGCTCTTGAAGTCAAGTGAATTGACGGAAAAGGTACAAACTAACACCAAACATTTCCGTGATGCCATGACAAAGGCCGGTTTTACAATTGCCGGTGAAAATCATCCCATTTGTCCCGTTATGTTGGGCGATGCACGTTTGGCCTCAATTTTCGCCGATGAAATGTTGAGTATGTATTTCTAATATGTCCTTTATACTATTTGAAGGTACAAACTGTTTGTTTTTTTCTTCCTTTCTTTCAGAACGTGGCATTTATGTTATTGGTTTCAGCTACCCTGTAGTACCCAAGGGTAAAGCCCGCATTCGTGTCCAAATTTCTGCTGCACATACCAAAGATGATATTGATCATGCCATTGCTGCCTTCACTGAAGTTGGAAAATCACTGAAAGTAATTCAGTAAAATATTGTCAAAAATAATATTATAAATATTCAGGACAAAAATTGCATTTATTTTTTGTAGTAGTAATAGTAAAGAAAATAATATTTAAAAACGTTCCTATTGTTTTATTTCATTAATGTGGGTGGATAGTGCAAACATAATCGGAAATTTTGTACTCGTATGATTCCCCATAATACTGCTTTGCAGGGTGTTACATATTTATGCATTTGCATGAAACACTTATCAGGATTTATTTAGAATCACATTTCAATTAAAGCATGCTCGTTCACCTTTCCGTCAGTTATTAAATAGCAATGACTAAATTCATGGGTTTTCACATAAATATCTTTATTCTAGCTTGAATTGGATTTTCTGGCTCTAACCTATTGATATATTTAAAAATTTAGTACAACTTCTATTACGAATTTTACCCTTATATAAAAAAATATTTTTATTGTTCGCATGAAGATGTATTTATTTCCTTATTGGAAGTTTTGCAATAAACTGAAATTCAATATAGAAAGTGCTTCCACGTTATGCGAACAAACGAAAAATGTCAATACACAAATCTCATGATATTTGACATCATACCGCTACAACAGCTGGGACGTCATCGGTAACAGTACGGGTGATAGGTGCTGATCGATGGATGTTTGGATTGACAGATGAATTTGCATAACCATAGATCGTCCCCAGATGTGGTATACAACTGCTGGGCATGGCAAGTATGTCACATCCGCCGCTATTGTTTACCACAGAAGAAGTACTTAGACTTGTGCCACAAAATGTTGCAGCAGCAAAGAATGTAAAAAACTTGCGCCGGTATCTGTACTTTTAGCCATGTTTTTTTCTTGTTGTCGCCAAATCTCAGCTTTATTTGAATTTCTTTCAATGAGAACTTAACTTTTAGCGTACGTTGTTTTCAATGAATGAATAAAATTTGCATTGCAAAGCGTATTAAATAAATTTGAGGCAACAAGAAAAAAACATATATCTCTACTACCAGATTTAAGAAACATGACAGCAACAACCACTACCGACTGATCAATGAAGGAGTTGTAAAAACAAATGTAGCTGTAAACAAGGTTAATATGTATATTTGTATGAACACTGGGATGCATCCGGGCGAAATTAATTAGCCGCAAATAACGTCTGGTAATATAAGAACCAAATCATTAATTTCCAAAACAGATGTTAACTATTAATATAATCAATGAGAAGTACAAAAAGTTTATTTTTATTCCTACAAATTTATTAATACAGCCAATACGAGTAAATATGGCAGCGTAAATTGATTCTGATTTGATGATAACATACTCTTACTATCTCGGCTTACCCTATTGTATGCACAATGCTTGCATTTCTAGTTTTACAATACAATTTATAAGATATGTAGCAAAAGCTATTGTTTATTAATTTGTCCAGTCACAACTCATAGTTATTAATCCGATTTAGTGGCTGATCTCAGTCAAGGAGAACTAGGGAGCAAATATTTTACAACGTTTTCTCGAAAGTATGAACAATTGTTACAAGCTCATTGTTCACCATTGTTCTCAATGATATGTGAAATTCCGAGTTCTTCGTGGCTAAGAAACTTCTTTATAGATAATTTTCCGTATAGTTTCATGTTTTGACATAATTCCATATAAAGGTCCCGACCCATTTTAGTTACTTTCTTAATTTTTCAACAAATTTGACATTATCCCAGTAAAAAGGTCCTCTTTAATGACTCATTCTCCAAGCGAAGTGGCTATGAGAAGGCATTACGTATTTTCGGTGGATAAAAAACACTTAGATAATATTTTTATAATTGATCAAACTTCATAAAGTCTTCATATAAAGATCTCAAAAATACTCGGTACGCTAAAAGTCTTATCCGAATAATCCTCTAATTTTATATTTTGTTTTCTCAGATAATAGTAAACCTTGCTCCAACATAAATGTATCGAGGATATAAACATTTCTATAAGCCGAACTTAATGTTATCTTTACTTGTTTGGAATTTTTATATACAGTCGAGTACGCTTATAACGACCACCGGTTATAACGACACATTACACACATTTCCGGTTCCCGAAGTTTTAAGATATATTTTCAAACAAATGTTTACTCTTATACGGACTACGGATATAACGAACTATTTATTCGGTCCCACCACACAGTTTTCATATATATTAATTTGCGTATAACGATCTAATTAAGTCCATGTATTGTCTTACCTTGGGTATAACGAACATCTTCTATAACGGACTAATTTCAAATTGGATATTCCGTTCACATGATATTATAAAATTAAATTTTTACACAATTTTGACTATTTCATGGAGGAGGAGTGGACCGATATTCCCCATCTTCGAATTTGAACTAGGTTGGGAAGAAATATACGATGTGCAATGTATGGATGAACTCAGTTACTCCCTTCGAGAGTTATCGTGCGCACCAGCCGTTCAGACAGACGGACATTTTAAATCGACTCCAAATTGTTTGAAACCGATTTGGTCCAAAGAAACATGTAGTTTTAAACAAATATTTCGATTTTCGATATTTCGGCTGCTACCACAAAAGTGGAACCAAATGACTGGGAATGCGGTTGAAAAATCTCGCTCCGGATGGGCACACATAGTCCATCTTCGAATTTGAACTGCCTGCAAACAAAATACAACTCTACAATAACAGACAGGCGTCATCGATTTTTGTGCTGATCTAGAACAATATTCTTCATAGGGTCGGAAATGATAATTTACAAAGGAAAAAAACAAGCTTAATATAGCTTTCATACTATGGCGCGGTAATAATTGCAGTATTGCCCATACATTCTTGATCCGTCTGTTAAAATTGCGATACGGTCCACATTATTTAAAATAGAGCTTTAAAATTTCGCACATGCACAGAATTAGGTATTAATAATGGTTCGTATCGGTTCACCTATTGGTACAATCTCCATACTAAATATTGACAAATCTCCTTATTATATATATATATATATATATATATCTTAACTATAGTTATATTATATTAACTACAATGAACTGTACAAAATTGTGTGACAATCGGACAAACTTTGGGTCTTTAGTGAACAAATTACATAAAATCGTAAGAATATATATATAGGAGCTATATCTAAATTTTAACCGATTTTCACTACACTTAACACACATTATTCTAGACCTAATTCATTTCGCTATGCCGTGCAAATCGAAATAAATATAGGGACTTCGATACTCCATTTACATTAAATCGGACGAAAATATATATGTGAGCTATATCTAAATCCTTGCCGATGGAAAGGACTTTGGGTCACCATCTACATTAAATCGGACGAAAATATATATGGGAGCTATATTTAAATCTGGACCCACATTCAGGAAACTCAACACACATCATTCTACACCTAATTCATTACGCTATGCCAGATTTCGAGCCAATCGAAAGATATATAGGGACTTTGGTACACCATTTACATTAAATCGGACGAAAATATATATGGGAGCTATATCTAAATCTGGACCGATTTTCAGGAAACTTGACACACATCAGTCTAGACCTAATTTGTAACGCTATGCCAAATTTCGTGCAAATCGAAAGATATATAGGGACTTTGGTACACCATTTACATTAAATCGGAGGAAAATATATATGGGAGCTATATCTAAATCTGAACCGATTTTTCTCAATTTCAATAGGGTTCGTCCTTGGGCCAAATAAGTGACCTATGCCAAATTTCATCCAATTCGGATCATAAATGCGACCTGTACTTTGTTTACAATTTAAGATGGACTGACGGACATGCGTTAATCGACTCAGAAAGTGATTCTATGCATATTCTCAAAAGGAACCATGTGTCTATCTCGTTTCCTTTTGCCTGTTACAAACATATCAACATACAAACATACCCTGTACCACAGTGTGGTGAAGGTAGTAATTATAGAAATTTTTAGGATACCCCCTATATAACGGTATCCCTATTATTGGGGAACGTTTTGGAAACGTTTTTTTTTTCAAAATTTCCTACCAAAAATGTATTAAACAGCTCATTATTATTTAATTTGGTAAGACAATATCAGATGTTATCGAAGAGTAATTGTGTAATGATTCATGATTGAAGGAAGTTCGTATTACTACGCAGTTCAGTAATAAACCGGAACAAACATTTTTATCTTATTTGGTGGTTGGTGTATCGGAAAGGTTTGTGTATTTACTGAAGAAATGTTGATATTTGCATCCTAAAGGTATGCTATGTTTTTATACCATTAATAATCCACCAATTGCAATTTATTTGTCGAATATATTCGACATTTATTACTCTCTTCCTTTGCAATTTTTCGGTTATCCTATGTACCGTTACAAAACTGTCCAAGGGTTAAAATAAGAATAGTTTTTTTCTAAACTCTGTGCCTTCATATGATTTTAAGTACTAAATTTTAGTTTTTATTCCGAAAACAATTTTTTTTGATACTGAAAGGGTTAATTTCTTTGTATTCAATATTGTTTTTAATTGCCGAAAGAATGGTAGTTCAAAATCAAAATTACGATCTGATGTTATGCATTAAAAAACAGAGCAAATTTAAAATGTGTGCATCGAATATAGACAACAAAATTCGCCGTAACTATAGTTCTATTGAAAAATTTCAAAGACCTCGTCTTTTGATTACTATATCAAAAAGTGAATCTGATTGATTTTGGAAATATTCAAAGTGAGGTTTCGGTGGACCAAAACAAAACCCAACCAAATTTCAATCGATTTAGCTAGGAAATCATCCATTCCCCATGGCCGTCTTCCATTAAACGAGATTTTATAAAAATATAACTCATATAAATGCTAAAAAAGCAAACCCTTACAAAGTGCATGAATTTAATTTTCATGTATTAGGAATTTTGTGACTTTGAATTTTAAGCGAAATTAAAAATACGAACTAACATTCCGAAAGTGTTGTAATAATAGTTTTAAGAATTTAAAATTTTACATTTTGCTAAAATTTAAAGTAAAATTAATTCTATTAAACATTTCTATTTGATTTCCA